TATATATATATATATATATATATAGTTACATAGATTCACTTAGTGATTTATGAATTCTGAGTCTTGCTCCTGCATGTTCACTGACTGACTATAATTACACTCATCTCACCTCATGCAGTGAGTAGACCTGCATCATGACCCTTTATTATAAACATTTTGGCTAAATGTGAATCCTGGGTGTTAGGTCACAATATTTGCCTCCAATGACAAGAGAGTATAGTGTCCTCACTGTTATTCTGTGGACAAATATGTATGCAGCTGAGTGACAAATTAGTCATACGTCAGGCATTAGTTGCATGCCATGGTTTCTGAAAAGTTGAATTTCCTTTTTAATAAATGGAGAAACATAGTGAGTCACTTCATCCAGACAACATTTTCTATAACAAGGCATGCTGGGTGACCCACTGAGAATTGTATTGAATGTGACTGTAACTGAGTGGTTCACCTTCAGAGTATCCACCACAACTAGATGTGAGCAATACTGTTTTATTTCAATTATGCACTGAATACAGCTTCTGCTAGAACTGGTTGTGCTAGAATGGTGTCTACATTCATTAATTTAATCAGTCAGTGGATTAAATTAAATTAATTTAACCACAGTGTGTTGCATCTAGGATAAGGCATTGCACACAGAACACATCATTCTGTTGAAAAGACGTGGATTCGCTTTGCAAAATCAGTACTTAATTCAATGATAATTCAAAGTTGATGCACAACCCTAAAGGGGTCCATTAAAAATGTAAAATCTGTCATCACAAGCCTGCATTGACTTTCATATATATATATATATGTATATATATACAATGAAAGTCAATGGGGACCAGAAACGGTTTGGTTATCAACATTCTTCAAAATATCTTCTTTTGTGTTCAACAGAAGAATGAAACTCTTACAGGTTCAAAACAGCTTGAGGGTGAATAAACAGATGGCAGAAGTTTCATTTTTGGGTAAATTACCCCTTAAGTTTATAAAATTAATACACAAAGGCTATTTGTTTGTTATTTTGGTGTACATACTGTAATTGCATATTTTGAAAGAATGTAAAAGTATGCAACAATGTGAAATGCATGCAGACAACTACAAGATCAGCAAAATACAGTATCAGTGAAATACAGAAAATGTAAGTTTGGTAAATTTTACCCAAAGAAAATATATTGTGACAGTTCTCTTAGACCTGCTGGAAAATCACGTCGGGCAAGTGTAATATAAATATCTTAATATTTTACAAAATCACATTTTAGCAACAAGTTAGCTCAGTGTAATGCAGCCAGTGCAAAGTTGGGTCTGAAGAAAAACACACTGGTTCTGGATAAAAAAAAAAACATATATAGCAAACAGAATTTCACATAGACTTGGTCTACTAAGCAACCACTTAAAACACCAATAGCAACCACCTAGCAAAGCAATGTCCTAAAAAAGACTCATAACACCTTAGCAACAAAAAAAGAAACACCCTGACAATCACCCTAAAACAAGCTCCACTTACATTTTCTATAGAAAATGTAAAAATCCAGTTTGTTTAAGGTACTTTTAGGCACTTTTCAAATAAGCTCTACTTATCACCTACAGCATCTAATGCAATTTGCAGCAATTCCAATGTATCTGAACTAGCATTTTATTTTTTATTCTAACATAGTCCAACATAATTAAGCTGTGGCTTCCTTAAATGGCAAATCTGATGGTTGACTAGATTCTGTACGTCTCCGTTGAAGATGAAAACCTGCTAGAGCAATTTTGGAAAATGTGTTTGGAAATATCAAATGCACAATCCATTCGATTGTATACACAACCTGTTCTCACTCCCAAGGCGTCAAAAACTGAAGCACGGTCAATCACATTTAGTGTCATTATTAAGATGCTAAGGTTACCCCTAGGCATCAATATATTGACAATTAATAACTTTCAACCTTTGGTGTCAATACACAGATGCAGAGGGCATGGGAAAGTTATCAGCATTAAATTATTATTTGAGTAAAATTGTATAAATATTTAGGGTATGATTTTTTTTGAGCATCTAACCAGACCTCTACTCCTAAACTAACCATCTGTCAATATTTAAAACAGGTGGATAAAACTACAGACACGTTTATTAAAAAATTACAAACATTTCAAGACTTCCAAGGCCAAACAATTGCTTTGTGTGAGAAACAGACTCAAATCTCATTATCACAGTTTCCATCCGCCGTAACGCATTCATAAATCGCCGCCTGCAGAAGCATTATATATGCTTTGATTGTGAAACGCCATTGGCTCTCCTGTGTCTCATGACTCATTACATCAGGCTAAAGTTCAGATTTATCTTTTGAATGAGATGCGACTGCGACTGGGATCATTGTCAGCTATCAAAACCTTAAGAAGTTTCACTCTGTTCCTTACAAAGATATTTTATGCTTTAGAAGACTTGGAATGCACCACAACTAATTTTCTGCAGTTTTTTTTTTGTTCAGTTTTTGCATTAAATAAATGTGACTGTACTTTTATCTGCCTGTTTTGTGTTTCATATTGTTAAGAAGCGTTTAGGTTTAGGGTAAGCTAAGCCAATCCTACAGGCAATACAGAAGGTCGGTCGCCTGGGGCCCCAACATGTCTGGGGGCCCTGTGGGGAAGTATACATTATGGTTTAGTACAGTTACTGCCAAATAAACATCCATTGACAAAATGCGATCGTCACACCAGAATAATGCAAAAACAAGCAGGACCTCATCCTTTAACACACAAACCACAATGACGGTGACAACCAAAAATAGTGTGAAGTATAAGATGAGCTTTCAGTCACCAAAAGAAAAATACCTGATAAATAAGTTAAATCGCAAGTGACAATAAACACAGCGTAAACAGGCGCAGCAAACAGTGAAATATAAAATGCATCGGTAATCTGCAAAATTGCATTCATGTCACGTAGCATCGCTGGTTTATGGAATGCCGTATACTATCCACAGATTTTAAACTTTCCTCAAACGTGCTGAAGTTGTTGCAAATGCACAAAATAAGCACACAATTATTATGTTGTGCCTATCTAAGATGCTTTCTGTGTTTAAAGTACTCTTTGGATGGCAGAAACAGCACTTCTGTTGGCAAAGTCTGTTTTCTCAAGAATAATCTGGCCAATTAATTAATAAGTGTTTATATGTGAGTGGTTGACATGGAATTTCAAGCACTCAGTCGACAGAAATCAAATTCAACCATCAATCGTACAATAAAATGATTATACAACATTACACTATGACCTCATATTAATCTCTATATGATTTATTTGTACTTTCAATAATTGTATTTGTCACATTTAGGTGAACTAGATGATTAGAGATAAAAGGTGGTTAAAAATAGTTAAACACTTATTTAATAAATATACACTATTCGTTATGCATTAACATAGATTTTAACTTAATGTTGATGCTTATTAATGCATATTTCTTGTCATTTTATTTCAATGCGGTTGTCATGTTTGTAGTGGTTATGTAGTTTTAATACTGTCAATATTGGTGGGGCACATTTTTCATGATCTTGCCGGGGGCCCCACAAACCCAAGGGCCATCATCTGATGCATAAGGCAAGCAACAAAAAACAAAGGAGTTCCTAGCTTGTCAATATTGGGGTACTTTTAGCATCTTAATAGCGACGCACAAGGCACTTGACAATGCTTCTGTTTTTGATGCCTTGTGTGTTGTAATGTAAATTTGAAATAGCCTATACAGTGATGACTCGTAGACATGTAATTGATCTTGCTTATAGTAAGAAACAAAGCGCAACCTTCTGTTCATGCTGTGACAAATTGCAGCTTTCGCCACAGAGTGGCTTTAATTAGTGCACATCTGACTATGTGAAGTTTTTAAAAAGCAACATCCTTTACCTGCCACATCATTGTGAGTGAACATCCACCACCACTGTATCAGGAGTCCCTTTTTTATTTAATAAGGGCACTCTACCAAGGCATAAAGAGTCACTGCTGTGAATATATACCCGTAAAGCATGTATAAAGCCTTATTACTACAACTAACCTAATATAGTTTGCTCTGCATCACATGTGCTGATGAATTCTGAGGGTGAGTATCATAAGGTTTTGTTGATGTATCATAAGGTCTTGCACTCTAAAAAACGCTGGGTTAAATACAACACAGTGCTGGGTAAAATAGGGACAAACCCAGCAATTGGGTTGTTTTGACCCAGCGGTTTGGTTAAATGTTTAACCCAACCTTCTGGGTAGTAACCCAACCGCTGGGTCAAAACAGCCCAATTGCTGGGTTTGTCCCTATTTTACCCAGCACTGGGTTGTATTTAACCCAGCATTTTTTAGAGTGTGCACTCAAGTTTATAACAGTAAATTGGGTTTATATGGTATTGACTCTGTCTTTGGTTTGAGGTTGTTAATATGAATCATGAAGCATAACCAATTATGATAACTAGTATCTTCTTCAGCCTATGTGCAATAGAGGAAAATACGACAGAAGGGCTGAAATAAATAGCGTATTTCAAGACAATCTTAATGAGTCGGAATAAAGGACTGGCACAGACTAGGGCTGGTGGTACCCAGAAATGTTACTCTCCTTGATTCTTGACACTCTTCAGTAATAAGTGTTACACTCTAAAAAATGCTGGGTTAAATACATAGTCCAACATAATTAAGCTGTGACTTCCTTAAATGGCAAATCTGATGGCTGACTAGATTCTGTACGTCTCCGTTGAAGATAAAAACCTGCTAGAGCAATTTTGGAAAATGTGTTTGGAAATATCAAATGCACAATCCTTTCGATTGTATACACAACCTGTTCTCACTCCCAAGGTGTCAAAACCTTATGATACATCAACAAAACCTTATGATACTCATTAAGTTGTTTTGACCCAGCGGTTGGGTTACTACCCAGAAGGTTGGGTTAAACATTTAACCCAACTGCTGGGTCAAAACAACTTAATGAGTATCATAAGGTTTTGTTGATGTATCATAAGGTCTTGCACTCTAAAAAATGCTGGAAAGAAAGAAAGAAAGAAAGAAAGAAACTTACCAGACCATAGACGAAACTCAGCAAGGTGCCGCAAAAGACTAAACCTAAAGTGTGTACGATCAGCGTGGCTCCCATCCCGACAAGTTCACGCAAATGGATATCAGCTTAAATGGGATTTCTCTGATGTTTTAATCTGTTAAAGAGCCAGTCATTTCTCTGCAGTCCGCTCCCCTCCCATTACATCGTCTGCTTGCAAAATTATGAATATTTTCTCACGGCTTTTCCTTGTCACAGATCTGCAGACCCGATTCAAACTGTTCCCAGTCTCTCTCTCACCCGCTCGCGTTTGATTTCTCTGCATCTGTCTGCCTTTTCTCTGAAATTACATCCACATGTCAGAACTATTTATGTCCTGCTCCTTCTGCGGTAGGAAGTGCAAATGATTCTTTGTGGAGTAGAACCCGACACTTTATTTTTAGGTCTTTAAATTTCCCTTCAGCCTCGCTGTAAAAAAAGCGACATACTAAAGCGGTGTCCCTGAGGCTCAACCTTCATTTTTTCTCTCTCAGGACATCAAAAACGGCAAAAGTGTCGGCTAAACAGTTTCTGTCTATTACTGTAGCCTACACTAATATTCGCTTTAGCTTTGAGGCAGATGTGAAACTGTGACAAAGTAATGGGATTTGTTTTAAAGAAAGAATCCTACGTTTACTTCACAACTAACGTCAGGTCACCGCTAAAAAAAAAAAACAAAAAAAAAACAGTGTTGCTTTTAAGATAATTTGTGTGCAAGTTTAGAGTTGTCCTCATTGACAGACCGGCTCCAGACAGAGACAGCACTCGTCGGTAACCCTCACTGAGCCTCTGTAGTAACTAATGTTGCAGAAGCGGATACAAAGAGGCAGGTTTCGCTGACGGCGTGAAGGAGTTTGATTGGCTTAGCTGGAAATGGCGAGGGATTCGCGCTTCCCGCCCCCTTTGCACAAGCTGCGCTTTCAGTGCTGTGCTTTATGTTGGCAGAAGAGTGTTTCTAAGCGGTCCGCGTCGACACCGTGCAATGCAACCGATGAAATTATGCAAATACAATGCTGGGTAACATTTGGATTTTAAGTTTCGCCGGCTTCTGAAATACATCTTTCAGCATGGTTTTAATATTTGCTTTTTCATTAAATGCATTCTTGAACAGTCACTTATTATAACATCTGGGTTTACCCACTTGGCTTCATTTATATTAGCTATTCATTTGTATTATTATTGATACTTTTATTTGACACGCACTTTTTCTTGGAATGAAAAGAACAAGTTGCATTTCAAGATGAGTGCAATATATAGGCTACAGTAAAATATTAGCATATATCTTCCTCTGCACAATTTAAGGTAGGCCTAGATACTTGACTTAAAGGGATAGCTGTTCCAAACCTGCACGAGTCTCTTACCCACATTCTTTCAAATATCTTCTTTCGTGTTCAACAGAAGAAAGAAACTCATACAGCTTTGAAACAACTTGAGGGTGAGTAAATGATGACAGAATTTAATTTCTTTCTTTCTTTTTTGGTGTGTGTGGGGGGGGGGGGGGTTTTCCCTTTAAAAATTAACTTTTAAAAGCTCTAAAA